TGACTGGAAAAGACCCACAGTAAGGAATATCAACAGCACACAATGAGCAGTCACAGTTAATGACTGCAGGGTCAAGGAATGTTTGTAAAGATCTTGCATTTTCTAACGATCACGATGGAGGCAAGCAGAGGGGAGAGAGTGAGAGAACTGTGATAATAACATGTTGTGCTTTGAAGTCTATTTTGAAACTGATCAGTTTGAGTCCAGAACAAATTTACAATGTTGGAAGAGCTGGCTTTGAAGGAATGAGACTCAGTGGAAGGCGAGTAACATGGCATAAGACAGATACAGAATCAGTGGAAATGTGTGGCAATATTTTCTACTAGAAGGAAAGAACACATTTATCTCAACGATGAGTAAATCAAAAGCTGGAAAACAGCATCCCGAATGGTTCAAACATCAACTTGGAAAAATATGAGGGAAAAGAGAGTGCTTTATAAAATTAAAAAAAACACAAGAGGGTGCATTTAAAGAAAAGGTGTAAAATGTATTGTAAGTGCAGGTACAAAAGGCTGTTAGAAAGACCAAGTGAAATTAAAAGGGCATATGGCAAAATATGGCAGTGGAAACTAAAATAATAAAACCTGTTTCAGTACTACAGCAGCAAAACCACTGTCATAAAATATATCCAGGACTTTCTTTCATTCACGATGGAGTGAGGCATGCAAAGGTGAGAGAGTGATTAGTAACACGAAACCTCTCGACATGAGAGGGAAGGGGCTGAACAGTACTCCTCCAGGTGCTCACTGTGGAAGAAGTGAACAACACGCCTGAGGCAGCAGACTAAGCTCTGTACTGGGCAGTATTACCAGAGGGAGAGGTGTTTAGGGTACTAGAAGCACTAAGAATTCAAAAATCCCCAGGGTCTGATGCTATCTAGTACTCAAGGAAACAATAACATTTAATTCAGAAACATCTGACTTTTTCTACAGTTCCTAAAGACGGGGTAGTACCCAGGAACTGGAGAACTGAAATTGTAGTAGCCATCCATATAAGGTGAGGGAAAACTCAGCCATGTAATTATAGACCATTAACTCTACTTATATACTACATGAAGTAATGAAAACTATTGACGAAAAGAAAGTGAAGATTACCTACTGTATATGGGAATAATATCCTAAGAAATTATCAACATGGATTTTGAAAAGATATTTATTGCCTAACCAATTTGTTAGACTTTCCTGGGCAAGTGACAACAGTAATAGATACACATACAGCATATGATAACGGTGTTTAAGGATTGTTTAGAAGGATTTTGATTATTTTCCCCCAAAAAAGATTCATCTGCAAATATCAGGGGGTAGGTGTTCATGGACGTGTCCTGATTGTGAATTTGGCATTAAGTAGAACAGGGCGAGTACTCAAATTAGGGTGATGTACTGTAATTAGTGGGGTACTTCACAGATCTATATTCGGACCACTGCTCTTCTTAAAGTATGTTAGCAATCTAGATTCCAGAAGAGTTAGTTACCTAGTCAAGTTATCAGACAATACCAAATCAAGAGGATCTGCAAACAGTTTGTTGACATTTATCATTTACATCTGTGGAAGCAAGTAAAAAGGCAAACCAAATGCTAGGTTATAAATCATAATATAGAACTTAAATCAAAGGGTCTTATGTTGAAATTATATTACTGTTTGAGTTAGTACGGCTTCATTCAGAATATTTTGTATTTTGAATTTTGTGTAAGAAAAGACATTGCTTGTCTGGAATCCAGAGAAGAGCAAACAGATCCTTTCTGGGGCTTAAGGTAACGTCCTACACTGACAGGATTAAGGCACAGAACTTGAATCTTGAACAGAAAAGATTATGAGGGGAGCTGATACCCACTCTCAGAATCCTTAAAAGCACTGACAAAGTCAACCTAGTGGACTTCTTCGGAAAGAGCAGTGAAACACGAACCAGAGGAGTCAAGTGCAAACTGTAACAAACACACACTGACCTGTTGAGCAGTGGTCTTGAGGCAGGAGGCTGAACCCGAGCATAGGCTCTTAGATGTGGAGATGGAAGCAAAGCAGACAATCCAAATCACAATCTAAAAACAAAAAACAAAACAGGTCAAAGCCGAGGAGTGCAGGACAAAAACAAAGGTGAAATCCTAAGGCGAATCGGAAAACAAGGAAGGCAAGGCTCAAAGAACTCAAGCAAGGTCAAACTGGCAGGGTCAATACACAGGAGGGCAGGCAAAAAACAGGAGTGACCCAGGAGGCAAAGTTGAAGCAAAAAAGAATATCAAAGCCAAGAGAGAACAAGTAGCAAGCAAGAAGCAAGGGAACGTCAAGACACGAGAATAAACTCAATGACTGAGCAGGCAGCACTGGTCTTAAACAGCAGCTGGTGAACAAGGTAAGTATTGGTTAACTGCACACAGGTGAGATAGATCTCTAGCCTGATCATGCTGTTACAGTAATTGGCGAGTTAGCAAGTGTAGTGGAGGCTTACCTGGTAGAAATGGTGTTTTAAGTGCATAGACCAGGTTGTTGTGAGAGCAATGGAAACTAAGTGGGAAGTGCATTTAAAATGTAAAAAGAATACGAGCCACGTCTTTACCCAAAGGGTTGTAGGAGTATGGAACTAAGTACACAGCCATGATGTTGAAACCCTAGTTTCTTTCAAGAAATGGCTGGATGAGCTCTTTGGATCAATTAACTGCTAACTACCAAACAAGCTACTGTAGAGGAGCCAGATGACCTCCCATTAGTTATAACCTTTCTTATGTTCTTAATGAATAGTGTTTTCCTAAGGAATGTTGCATTTCCACAGCTAGCACGACATATACTCACAGTGTATGACAATATATTAGCCCAGGTCTGTACTGGTTTATTTTATTTTTATACTACCTCATACATACAGTAATTGCTAATTAATCTGTCATGTTCTAATAAATGTTATCATATAAACTGTGCAACTGTTATCAGCTAAAGGAATGAAATCCTCATACACATTAGGACATTTTTTACTATTTTTACTTATAAGAAGCCTGATAACTGGTAAATGTGATAACTGCAGGGGAATACTTACTTGGAATCAACACAGAAAAAGTTGAAAAAGATCCTTGGATCTATTAACTACAAAGCGGACTGGATGGGCCAAATAGTTTGAAAGCATTCAGAGGGCACTGATTTCACTATGCTGTGCCAAGAGCACACCTCCCTATGTATTACACTTCAGTACAATCAGCACGTGCAGGTACACTCTGTAGCGTCCTGCCCCCAGACGTCTGTCTGGGAGCCATCTTTTCCACTCTTTTTGCAAACTCATTCCCCCCTTTCCATTCCTCCATAAATAGGGGGCTGCTTTCCCTCTTTCTCTCGCCAACCGATACTCTCTGTGCCTCCTGCGTACCCCTCCTCTCTCAGTGACAAGCACTCCCCCTTAGCAAGTAAAGGGCAATGAAGCCAGAGAGCTGCAGTTGCAGTCTCCTGCCTCTCTTCCTATACTTAACTGAAATTAAAGTGTTGAAGATCATGTGTCAGCCATTCGGCCAGCCATTTTCAAAATTATTCTTTCGATTCAGAACTGCGGGGAGCTGGAGCAACGGGCGCAAGCTAGGATGCCCCCTGGACAGGACGCCTGTCTCATTTATCAGTCTTTGAGAAACAAAATTGTACTCCTGTTATCTCTTGTTGAACTTTAATTTATGAAACTTTAAGGACCACACATCATTACTTTGTTTATGTTTATTGAATGTGTGTATGCATAAGAGACAGCCCTATCTCAAACAATTCAGGTGGGTAGCTCCATCGCCTTGTAATGTTTCTTTATTAGCCCTATACAATTTCTTGCATTAGGAATGCATCTTTTCACATACCCCAGCTTTTCTCCAGGGAGACAGACACAGAGACAGAGCACAGGGTCTGTCTGGAGCAGTTGGGGTTAAGGGCCTTGCTCAGGGGCCCAACAGAGTAGGATTCCTCTGCCGGCCGTGGGATTTGAACCGGCAACCTTCCGGTCACAGGCGCAGATCCTTAGCCACAGAGCCACCGCTCCGCCTACCTTGCGTAGGCTGCAAAGGAACAAGTAATACAGTAGCAATATTCCAACATGCTAACAAGAGAAGAAGGAAAACACAACGTTTCGGCTGTGGAGCCTTCTTCGGGTGTGAACATTTATTCTGTGAGCTCAAAATGTAAGCCAAATGTTTCGTTACAGGTTGTCATTGTTGTGTTTTCTTTCTTCTCTTTTCAGCATGGAATAATCCTATTACTTTGTCCTATCTCAAATAATATTGGAGCGATTTTCACAACACAAAATGTCAGAAACATTTTTTTCAGGTTTACAGCTCCTCGTCTGTGTTTACGCACTGCCGAACGTGCGCCGCGCCTTTCGGAAGTATTCCGCAACGCCCAGCGCACCTGTTGTCCACCCCACAGGGTTTCGGTTTCTTTTCGGTTTCTTTGTATCCAAACCTTTGCTTGAACTGCAGTAGCAAAATCGCTGGTCACTCGAGCGTTTACAGCAGCAAAGAGTCAATTAATACAATTTAAGCGACGCAATTAAAGTGTGTTGCAGCTACCTGCCTGACCTACAATTAAAGTGTTCCTATCGTACGCGTTGTTTTAAAATATTGATTAGTTTTTCGTTTTCAGATGAGTGCTGTGATATTAACCGAATAAAATTTTAAGAAAGAAAAGAAGGATGTCTTTCTCGCAAAACCAATGTTTAAAACAATATGAACGTTTATACTATCGGTTTGTTTTTCTAGCGATTGCCATCGTATGTGTGGTAGACAAGTTAAGAACAGTGCAATTTCAAAGGACTTCAAAATTCACCATGCAAATAAATGTATTGCAGTTCAACCAACCCAAAGAAAGTTTTAAAGATCAAGAAAACAGAAAACTGTAGCAAGTGTATCATGGCACAGAAGTACTGTCCACCACGCCCCTTGACAATGTGGCTGTGCTCCATTCTCACTTTATAAGTGACTTAGTGAAGGACTTCCTCCGCGGTGACGAGTGTTGTTTTTTTGTGACTAAGAAACAGAGAAACTAGACTCGCAGAAAGGCTGCAGCTGTAGTTCTGGAAAGGCAAGATGCGTGCGAGTTGCTCGGAGACCGGCTAAAATCCACTCCAGACACCCGAACGCCCGCCCTAAATCCTAAATGCTAAGTCAGAGGCTCCTTACTGCTGTTTTCTTTCTGGTACTAAAGGCAACAGGTAATTTATTTTCACGTGGTTAAGTGTCATAAGCGTGCAAAAGTGCTTGGGAACTTGTACTGCAAAGCTAGTATCGATACGTTATGAATAGAAATAGACGTTATTAGTTTTTCCACTATGAATGATTGAAAGGAATCATCTGTCGTTGTGAAAAAGGTTTAAGTAATACTGTCATTTGTTTTTTCTAGTTTCACTGCAGCCCCTAAACAAATTACTACCGTAAACTGTATTCAGTACAGATGGAGTTATGCTCAAATTCTGATCGAAGTGTTTTAAAGTGGACACTTGTACAGTATGTATACCGGTTTTCTTACGGTTTTTTAAAAAATTTGTTAGTACAACTAATAAAACTTGAGTTACTTTAGTTAGTAAAACTAGTTTTCTGGGGAGTGCTGTAGAATACGATAATAAACCCATCAGTACTAGTATTAGTGTAATGCAAAAATGTATTGTAATTCATAGCCGCCTATTCTGTATGTACAGTATGTATATATGCATGAATTTCGTACAAATCCTAATAACGTAAATTGAATTCGGCTGATTTACTGCTTGACATGTTTGGCTGGGGGGCTTCTTTTTTACGTGGGACGGGCGATGGTGGGGTGGGGGGAGATATTCCGATATGTATACTTTTCAGTGAGCTGAAGTGGGAGTGCTTAGTGGTTGACCTCCTCCCTGTCTCTCATTGACAACTTCATATTAAAAAGAAAAAGAACTGTGTGTTCTCTGGAGAAAGACTACTGTGTGTAATTGAATACCCTTTATACTGATGTGTACACCTTTGTTTTGCCGTGTAACTCTTTGATATAATCTGGGGCACCAGCCAGGGCTGTGTTAAGGTTGTGCTTTGCACTTCCATTAATACTTAAAATATCATTCTACAAACCACTTAGAAATGATTAAAAAAACACAAGTGATTATAGTCTTTGTTTCTAAGCCAGCATCGTCATGTGAGCAAGAAGCTAATTATTATGATCAAGAGTAAATGTTGAAGTTAAATGATCAAAGGTAACCGATCAAGAAGATAAAAGTGCTTGAAAGGCTCCAGACTATTCTGGCACAATAGTACAGCCTAGACTTACCGCTAAAACATTAGAAAAAATGCTTGTAGCAGTAGGAATGTTTATGTTGAATGTCAAACTATGTTGATTATGGTGTGAATTTAGACAATCTGGAAGATTAAAAAAGCAGGGTGTTGTTAATAGGCCATGGTGTCAGCCTTTCTTAAGGAAACGAACAAAAGGCTCATACTGTACTATGTATCTAAATATAAATATAAATATATAAATATACCTATGTAGTCTGATAAAAGAGAAAATTATTATTTTTTTGAGTCAGCAGCCAAACTGTCAGTTCTTATGTGAATTTGTTTATGGTGTGAATCTGATTGAGTTTTTTTAGAAAATTGAATCATTTATTACAATAAACCTAAATACAGAAAAGTATCAGCAAATAGTGGGTGAGTTTTTCTAGTCCGTATAAAAAAACAGTCATGGATGCTAGTTTTCAGCATTCAGGGTCCTTCTGTCTAATAACTTGGAAGTCCTGGTACCATGTGGATTCGATTAGATGCACAAAGAAATATGCACTGATACATTATGCTAAGTGAGATATAAGACAAGTGACAGTTTGCAGTTGATTTGTCAAATAACACACAAACATGCCCTGCTACTGTAAGTCCACATAGTCTTCCCCTTGGTTTTGTCTAGCAATCTGTGATGCAGTAACTGATTAACATAGAGCAAGATTATGAGTTACACTTGAAAAATATAGCCATGAGGGTTTTCCCTGGCTTTAGAGAACTGACACATTTGGGGTCATTTTTAGTCTGAGAACTTCCTCCTTGAAGTATTCCTAAGGAACTCAGTGATAAAGTATACGTTGTTCAAATGCATGGTTTTCTGTGTTACTGTTAGAAAGACATTAGCAATTGTAAATAGCACATAGTATAGTAGACTTTCTAGAACTCAAAGACTATGGAAGCTTTTTGTGGCCTTTTCTGAAATAGCAGAAAATGCAGGCAGAAAATCTTCAGAAGTAGGTGGGTTTGCCCCCATTCCTCTACACATAATTCTTGACTCCTCTCACTACCAGCTTCCATTTGATACATTATTATAATTTAAGAAGCAGCTGCTTTCTCACAGCCTCATAACTGCACTGTAAAACATACATTTATTCTATATTAAATCTACTAGCATTTAAAGCCCCTAAAAAACAAAATCACTGTTTTATGCTTTAAAATGTTTTATAAGTAATATATTATATGCTTAGGGACAATCAAGTCACTATTACTTCTACAGCTTTACTTTTTAATATTTTTTGTGTTGTCTCGTTAAAGCCTACAGCCTTAAAACATCTAAATTCAAGATTTTTCATAATCTGTACAAAAAAGCTTGAGTAAATTTGGTTTATATTATTTACCAGTTGTACTATGTAAACTTAATGAAATGAAATATGAATGACCACCCATTAGTTTAAGCATTTTTATGTGACCTTTTATCCCTCTTATCTAGTCCATTGATATCAAACCACTTTGTTTCCTGTTACATAACCATTTGGCTTGAAAGTCAGAGTGATAGCGTTTGTCATGTGGAAATGACATGAATCTCACAAAGATCAAGTAGTTCTTGCTTTCTGCCAGTAATTGGGTGCATGGAGTTAACTGTTTATTAAAAAAATAAAAGATAATTTTCTTTCAAAAAGCAAGTGCACTCCATGTTTAAAAATTCAGCAGAATTTCAACATTATGCTTGAATTGAGTATGCAACAATTCCAACATTTGTAAGCTTTGTAAGGCCTGTAATTAATTGACTTCGAAGTGCCACCACATTAAAAGCTACTGTACATGTTGACGTAGATCCACAAGCTGTACAGACAGCTGTAAAGTAAGTATATACTGTATGCTGATTGTACTTAGTACATATAAGAGTGCCTCATTAACAAACATATTAATCAATTACGTACCTATGTCCTTAATGAGTGTGTTGGATTGCTTGGAAAAGACCTATTTACCGAGTAACAGTCACTTCTCCTTTGCTTGGAGCTATACCACAATGGTAGCGATGCCAGGAGACGACATGGTAGGGTTTGTAGAAGAATTACATCTGTTTCTATATCCAAATTGACCTCCCTTGATGGTGGCTATTCTACTGAGAAAATGAAAATTAAAATGTAGCAAGGCTTGTATTTGTTCACGGGCCTCATTCAGTTAATTCATTTGCATAATCCAAAATGGGAAGTAGGCAACAATGTGTCCATAACAATTATTTGTTTTTCAGAGGTAACCTTCGGCTCTGCTGTGCGCCAGCCATGTGAAGTTTACTTCAAAGCCTATAACCTGAGAAATATCGTGGAGTGGAGGCCGGGAAATGGCAGTGAAAATGGAACACGCTACAGAGTTCAGTATGCGATGTAAGGAGAATCTGGCAACATCCCTAGTTTCCTGTGCCTTGCTGTCCTTCTGTTGTGTCTCTCTCTCTGGGGCTATATATTTCCAGGTCTCTCATTCACCTTCGCTCAGCACTGATCTTCGGATATCCTGAGACCCGCCCAGCACCAGGTCGCCGCTCCGTCCGTGGCCTGAGGGCACAGGTTTCTATACAGCACTCCTGAACTCTTTGCACTGCTGGGCTAACTCCCTGTTCCACCGCCTCGCTTTGGGTCTTTTCCCGCTCTCCTGCCTCTCCACGGTTCGTCCCTTCCAACATCCGTGACACTAGCTTTGTAAAATCTACAGTATTTTCAATTACTGCATCACCTGCAAACTTACTCTTCTTGTTTTTTATGACTATCTCATCAAATGGCACACAATACAGTAAACAAGACAACAGCACACAGCTTTGTTAAGCAGAGAAAAACGCTCCCACCATAATACAGCCTTTCTTGAATTTGCAAAAAGGTCAGGACATTAGCCTTCCAGTGTCTTGTAGATTAAAAATAGAATTTTAAAACTTCACCTACTGGGGGTGTGTAATATTGCCTCTCCAAAAAAACTTCAAAAACCTGAGACATGATCTCAAATTCAATGAACACCACACCTCAATAAATGCTGCATCTGCATTAGGCAATTTCAAATTATTGGTGCTGTATTAATTCAATGTATTATGGTCATTGAATAGCAAGGTTACAGTCCTCAGTGCAAAACTTGCACAGCATTTCCTACGTATGGATAAAATTAATCAAGTTTTCCAAAGCAAGTAAAACCTTAAATGAAAAGAAAGAGTTATCACTCTTAAGAGATAAGAGATAAGAGAGTCTCTTGCCATATTTAATCTTTTAAACGTGAACAATGTGTTAGAAGACTGGGGGAGGGGTGGTGTCTCTCTGCACTGGAAGGGATTTTCCATAAAAGGTTTGGATTCTGAAAGTATTGGTCAAAATACACGTTAATGTGGGAACTAGAGCTCACATCCGATAGTTGAGAGACTCCGGGTTTGGATTTCATCTCCATGCCAGTGCGAATCGTTGTGCTTTTTGTCTCCGTTTATCCAGCTACGGTGAGGAGAAGATGGGGAAACCAGTGTGGAGGTTTCCAAGGCAGTGCAAGGAAGTTGTCAGCACATGGTGTGACCTTTCAGAGGAGACCAGTGACCTGGATGAGCAGTACTACGCTCGGGTGAAGGCTGTTGGTAAAGGACCCTCACAATGGAAGACCACTGAAAGATTTAACCCAAAGCTGCAGAGTAAGTACAGTAATTCACTGCAAATTATGTTCATCCCAAAAGAAAAATAAAACCTTGGGAATGTTTTGAATCACCATCTCTAGCTGCATTGACTGAAAATATTGTTTTTTGTCATCAACCACATTTATTCCTTTGACCATCCCATTTATTTCTTTTTATTATTCTAGCAATAAAATGAAATCTAAGACACGTCCAGTTGTTGTCCACTGGGCTTTACACCTGCAGAAACCAATCCAGATGTTAAGGCATACACGATCCAGTGAGAAAAGTGAATGCAGTTCAGTGCTGCAAAAAAATGAAAATCGCAATTCAATTCTGTTTTCAACAGCTTCCTTTGGACCCCCACTGTTAGAAGTCGCAACCAGTGAGAGAGCCCTCCATATCAAGATAAAAGGTCCTATGAGATGGCAGAAAAGGAACACAGAAAATGCGAATTCTATGCTGGCCTTCTATCCAGATATGAAGTACAATGTGTCCATCTACAACAACGTGACAAAACAATCAGTAAGTTCTTTTCACAGATTAGTTTTGAACTCAAGGAACTCGTGAGTTCAATATTAAAAAATATAAGCTTGTTAGTCACCTAAGAATGGAGGGACCTCTGTTAAAAACAGGGCTGCTGCAAGTTGGGAGTTCCGGCCTTTACCTTTATTTTCAGTACCTGGCTTTTTGGAACAGAACAGTCTGAGAAGGTGAAACCTTTCTATGTATTTTAGGGTTTTATGTGCTGAACAGGACTTAGCTGTAGTTCAACAAAGTTCATCATGTTTTCAAAAGTACTTCCTTCTCAAAAGAATTACCGTCGAAAGAGGGAAGTCACTGCAGCAATGTACTGAACATGAACAATCATTTACCTACAGTAATCAAAGTGTTTTGTGATTAAAAAGTAGTCCGTATACAATGCGACTGTATTGGTAAGGTACAAGGAAAAGCATTGTAATATCTGTTATATTTTTATCTGAAATGTGATACATTTCACAGTAACATACTGATTCTGACAATGAATGCTAAATATGAAGAAATGTAATATATTGAATTAAGTTAGTGTATTCTAGTTAGAAATGTAAAATCACCCCTTAATACTCAGTATATCGTGTCACATTTGTAAAATGTTTAATGAGGCAGCACACCAGCTTCTTTTAAGTTACTGTACTACTTGAACTGACTAAATGTACTGTGCTATAAAATTGTCCATTTATGTATTTTTAGTGGAGCTTCCTTCTAAACAAGAACTCGGTAGAAGTGGGGATGCTGGACTACAACACACAGTATTGTGTGTCTGCTAGGTCCTATTTAACACTACCTTTTAAATGCGATCCTTCCAAAGAGCTCTGTGTCACCACTCCAAAAGGTAAGAGAGAGGCATGGAAGGTAAATTCTTTGCACACGTACTCAGAACACATTTTTCTGAATTTTTTGTCCTTCACCAGGAGCAGAACTAAGATATGCTTTCAACATTTAACTTTTGTTAAAAGGCAGAGAGGTTATGGTTTATCATACAGTATATAGCACACACTGACAGTAAAATTGAACTTCCCCACCATCTGTGGTGGTTTGGCCTGAGTTCAATGTTATAATATTGTTTTTGGTCTTTTCAAAATGTGTAAGGTCCTGGTATTTTTTACTACAATAGGTTTATGCAAATGTGTTCAATTAAAAGTGACAAAACATATTGCATTTGTCATATGATGGAAAGCTTCAGGACTGTCATAAGACAGCAGTAGTTTTACTTGTGGAATTTAGGAACAATGACACAACTACATATATGGGACTTTCTATTTAAACAATGTAATATTTGTGTAATGAATGCCATCATGAGGTAGCTTCAATTGTGTATTGTGTACTAAACTACAAGTAAACTGCATTAATTCATAAATCTAAATCATTTTGATGGAAATTTTCTTGTCTATTTTTGTTTAAATTCAGTGCTATAAGATTTTACTGCAAGGTTAATGCACTTTTTTCAGAGAAAATAGAGCTTATAAACTACTTGTAAATGACTAAAAAGCAACTTAGTTTCTAAACACCTGTTTAATCCTCTGTGTATTTATGACATTTGAAAGTGTACATTTTGGTCTATTTTAATGAAAGAATACGAATTGCCTTTTTTTTAGATACCTTTTCAGATTGGATTATTGGGATTATATTTGGATGCATTTTGCCTTCTGTGATTGCTCTGCTTCTGCTAATATTTTTTGGATGCCTGATCTACAACTATGTGTTTGGAAACAAACAGAACCAGCCTTCACCTCTGGTAAATTTTATTTTTAAATTGAATGTTGCCTGTTGAAAAAAATATATCACTATCAAGTAGATAAACCAGCACTGGGTACAGTATGTACAGTGTTAACAGCATGGCAGGAACAAAGGTGCAAAGACGAGTTTCAGTAACGTTACTTATCATATTTCAACATCCCTAACAGGTTTTATCGAGGTGATTTACTGAAAAAATATTTCTGCTTTATTTTAAATTCTAGTAACTTTAATGATACACATCTTTTAGATAATCACTAAAGCCACACATTGATATGCAAATACGGTTCTCAGTAATCCACCTGGTCTGAGTTCTACTTCACATCAGGCACTTTCAAAGCATGATTAAATCATATAGCATTTTTAGAACATTCTGAGAAAGAAGTATTATGTGTTAACACATCTATTATTCCTTTATGTGTTTTTTAGTTTTGTAGCACATACTGTATGTTTTCTTCTTTCTTATTTGAAAGATGTTACATAAGAAAAATCCATAACATTAATCTGGTTTACGTGATAATGTAATTATCACAGTTTTTGTCCTTGGGATTTGAAGAGTGATAAAGGCTCATTTCAAAAATAATTTCATCAAGGGCAGATGTATTTTAGGAATCCTGTTTTGAGCATTTCATATCATTAGAATGCATTACATTACAGCATATTTTTCCTAAAGGAGACAAACAGCCTGTGTACAGATGTTCTACGTGACATAAAACAAGTTTAATTTTTTTTTAACTATCCATGAACTAGGCTTGCGGTCCAGGAATGAATGTACTGTAATTCATCATTGAAAGAAACACCTCCAGGACATTGCTTTGTTAGCATTACATACAGGACATCATACCAAAAGAAGCAAAAGAATTCGTTAATTGAAATTTTGACTATGTTAGGATTTCTGTTGTTGTAAAGCAAGATTACCAGAGTGGGAAACAACACAATCTGAATTGAGCACAATTGTCTTAACCCTTGGAGCTCCAATATAGGAGAGGCTGGCTCAAGCTAATGTTCATTAGGAGATGCCACCAGGAAGTCCTCCTGAACACAAGAGGAAGGGGGTATTATTTATTTTCAATGGATAACATGGGACGGAGCAGGCTGAAATCCTTTTTAACTTTATTTCTGGAAATCTACAGTTGTATGAGAAAATATCTTCAAAGTGTTTATCTAGTATTTTAATCACCTTAAATTATTATTAAGCCATGGACCATTTTTAAGCCATGGAATACTGTTCTCTGCCTTACCCAGGGTCATCCTGGTGCAATGCATAAGACATACTGTATGTACTCAGTAAAAAATAGTAAAACAAAATGTAATTCATGGCAATCAATCATTTTATATTCCTATGTATTACTACTTTACTGTACTTTTTTAAAAAATAGTATTGCTGGAAATTAATTTTCTAAGGCTAATTCTCAACAATAAACTGTGAGAAGTAGGATTTTTGTAAATATTGACAATCTCTGATGGGTTTAAATCCGATTATCTGTCTGTAAACAGATTAACTCACCGGTTTGAATGTGTAATATACTGTACTGTGTATTGTTTGTTTTACAGCTATTGCCACATGACCCTGTTTCTGAGGCAAAATGTGTATTTTGTCCTCCTGAAAGCTCAACAGTGAACTTTATCACCTTTATTGATCTGAAAAATGTGCCACTCTTTCTTAACCAACTTGAAGGAGTGCTTCCACCAAAAGGAAATGTGCCTTATGCCTCCCAAGCCCTGGCACACCTGACAAAGAGCACATCCAAAGACATGATTTATTTGCACAATCAAGAGTGCCAGACAGCTTCAAGACATGCAGAGTGCAGACCGTGCTCTGGCAGTGGGGATCCTGAGTACGGAATTGTGGTCCAGGCTCAAGCACCTTCTGATCGAGGTTACTGTGAAATGGAGGAAACAGCAGAAAAGTGTTCTTGCAAAGATGTGGCTCTCTCTGCACCCAGCCGGGATCGTGCAGCACGACCAGTGGCTGTAACATCCTTCGGCCTTCAAGAGGAAACCTGTCTGGATGGGCCGGAACCTAACGCCAACAGGCCAGAGCCAGTGATCCTGAATCCGCAGACAGGGCACAGTGCCCTGGAATTCCCAGAGGAGGAGCCAGAAAAAGAGGGATGTATTTTTGTGGACTGGGACCCAGAGACCTGTAGGTTACAGATCCCACAGCTGTCTGCGTTTGAAGATGAAGTTAATGCAAAGGAAGAGGAGGAACGCGAACGTGACCTGGAAGAGAACAGAGAGATCTTGGCCGGTGTGTATGTGAGGCAATCTTCAGAAGAGGGGTTTGAACACGAAGAGCTCCCCCTAATACATCTGGATAATCTCTGGGATCTACGTGTGAATATGGAAGAATAAATCATGCTGGTCTGTTCTTCCATGCCTTCCTGATAAGTATGTAATTGCTTAAGAGCAAAATGTATACGCTGGTGAGTGCCTTTCTCTCAGTTTTGTAAAGAGCAGATTATTAAAAATGTTGACGTTATAATACTGTATTTTAAGGCCAGTAAAAGTGATACATAAGTATTTAAATTAAGTATTTTGTACCACTAATTGCCAGTGGATTTAGTAGTTTATTTTAAAAACATAATTTAAGATTGGGATTGTGCCACAAACTGAAAAACCTAGCTGTACAGTACCAATAAGCAGTAGCACTGGTATTTAACTCAAATGCATAAACAAACTTAATTAAACCTTAATAAGCTAAACGTGTTGACTAGACTGTGGATCTGCGTCAGCATGTTAGCTACACATGAACAGGGTGAAGCTAATTCGACTCTGAAAAGTAAAAAGAAAGAAGAAAAAACACAGTTTTAGCTTTGGAGCCTCTGTTAACAACAAGACTATTGCGGGGCTATAAAGACATGACCTGAGACTGTCTGCTGAGCTGAAATACTAACACAGAGCCTTGGACAATTTCTCACCATGTTACAATATGAATACAGATTAAAATTCAATATCTGGGGTCAAGTTCAAGCACTTGTCCTACACACAGACGGAGACTATTACTCTAATTTGCTTAGTTAAATTATATTCTTTAAAATATTCATAATATTAAAATTTCTAGCATTATAAAAGTATATAATTGTGTAGTTTCTAAATCTAAAGTCGTAACATGAATCTGAGACAGCATCAAAGTGTTGAAACTGTTCATGGTTTTGTATACCAGTAAAGACAAAGAAGAAGGGGACGTTGTCAAAGTCTTTAAAAGAAGGTTACATTTTCATTTTTGTATTTTTAAAATGAAAGTATTGGTAGACGACATAGTCCTTTATTTTAACTGAAACTGTAAATTATGTTTTAAATAACTGTTGTATTTTTTCCTTTCTTGAGCAGAACTAAGACATGGCAATATACAGTGCTCTCCAAAAGTATTGGGACAAAAATCTGAAATTGGCGTTTCCCTGTTGCATAGACAAGAAACTGAAATCCACATTCAACAAATTATTCTGAGTCAGAGTTCAGAATGTCGCCTATTTATTGGGATATGTTTTGCAAACACAATTAATCGTTTTTCAACCAAAGCAAATATTGGGTTCAGTCCCCTCAAATATAGGTGATACTGTACTCCCTCCACCGTGCGTCACTGGAGGATGCTCATGGCCGTTAGCTCTTCCTGTTTTTCTCCACACCTTAGCCTATCCAGCACTTTCATAGATGTTTCTTCTGGTTTCTTCTGTCCATAAAACCTTGTTCCAGCACTCTGTGGCTCATCTCTGTATTTTTATTTTTGCAAATGCCAATTGAGCCCTGCTGTTCTTGCTGCTGATGAGGGGCTCACACCTTGCAGTATAGGCTCTAAAGTTTTCTTGGTGACGTCTTCTGCAGACTTTTCCACTTAGAAATATTTTTCTGTCATCTACGGCTTGGTCTTTATTGGATGCCCTGTTCTCTGCCTGTTCTTGACTCCTCTGGTTCTTTCCTTTTTCTGAAGAACATTCCAGACTTGTTGATTTTGTAATGCCAAGAGTCTTAATAATTTTGCTGATGGTCATTTGCTTTCCTCTCATTTTCAAAATGTCCTTCCTTTCTGTCATAATGAGTTCTCTGGTCTTTATGTTGGTTTTTGCTAACTAATTCAAGCGAAAGACTTCAGAAGCTGTTTCAAAAGACCTCATCCATGCCTACACCTTCACAACTCTTTTATGTGTGTGAACTGCAAGCAACATATAACCCCTTGGCAATTATGCTCATCTAAAATGTGGGAGTTTAAACAAAAAAGTGTTGTTACTGTATATAATGTATATATTAAACATTTATACATAAAAATACCAATACTGTAGGTAGAAGGGGATATTCTCTCCATTTGTCTCATATTCATCTTGTGATTTGAAATTTCCTGAGAATACAGCTACAGTATAATGGGTGAATTTGAACTCTTGTCCCAGTACTTTTGGAGGGCACTGTACAGTATATATATATAAAGTATGACAGCAGTAACTATCCATGCTGTCAAGTGCTTTTTGGAAATGCAAGCAAAGTTAATGAAGGAAACCATTTGTGATTCTCCTCAAAAATGCAAAATCATTGGATTTGTTTTTCCTCTTTTAAAATATTTGTCCTAATTTCTGTATAACTTACAACGATAGTATGTGTTTATGTTTTATGATAGTAGTGAAGAATAGCTTTTAACAAGTTGTTTGATGTGGCTTTTGATAAATTACTGAAATGACAAATGCAACTGATATTACACTGAAAATGGGTTTTACAAACAAGCATAATGTTTTTTTGATAGCTTATTTTTAACAGTCTGTGGAAACTGTTTAACTAGGAGGGTAACATGTATAGTTCTGTACAAAGCCCACTGCACGCTGGAACTTGTAATCATGCTGTAAGTGTGTTGTGTTCGGGGTGGTACTGGTGCAGAGAGGATCCAGGAAGGGACAATAAAAGCCATGTACCAATCACTGTTGTAACTGTTAGTGAGTTATCAAATGCTGTGCTTGTTTTTAGTGTTGTTCAAAGTTGAACTTTATCTTAACTTTATCTTTAAATTATCTTGTGCGATTCTTACATGCCTTAGCAAAAAAACCTCTTCTTTACTGGAACTTTTTTTTAAAGGTTTCAATGCAAAAGAAAAAAAGAAAGATGGAACATTTTTGCATTGTTCTACTCTTTTCACTCAAGGATCACACAATATTCTGTAGTAATTGTTAGACTGAGATTTCTACCACTGTGATGTAAGCTACCGGTTAATTCTGTTAATTAAAACAGATACTGTACATTAAGATCTGTGGATAGTACAAAAAAGTAGTTTTGTTCTATAGCATTGTTGTTTGTCCATGCTTTGTTTAGCGTGTTTTGTTCATGTTTTTGAAAATAACGATCAAACTAATTGAAGACTGCTTAATGACAAACTGTGTTACATCTTTTCCTACTAAATTGAGCTAATGACAAGGAAGTTAGTAGAGTAAAACAGTAGAGGTATTGAGTAAATTGATGATGCTCATATCTTACATATATACTGAAATATATATATATGGACTTTTCTGAGCTTTGTATGTGTAATAAATAGGATATCTAAACATTTTATGTTTATTTTCAAAGGGACTTTCCTGTAGTGATTACAGTAGTATTTTTCATGTGATTCTCACATATACTTTGTCCTTTTCAAACAGGATGTTTCTTCTACACAAACCACAGCTCACACAAGTCTAACACTGTCCTTCCTTAAATAGTTTCTCTGGAACGTGCTACAGAACAATGGAAGAATCTTACAACCGATTCAATTGAAAAAAAAATGCTTAAGATGTACCGTCGTATGAAAGGATGCTCACAACAAGAAGTAAGATGGTAGTTTTGTCCATTCATAGGTACAGAGATTCATCCAGGGAAACTGTATGGGTGGAGTCGAAATCACAAGTTTACAATTTCAAGGAAGAAGACTTGGGTGGAATGAGACCAGGATTAAGAGAAGATTGAGGAAGGAGAGATACAGAACAGATGGAGAATGAGAGGCCACTGTTTAAAGAGATACTGCTTCAGGGGCAGTACACATGCACAACAAGAGGGAGCAAATCAAGGTCTAAAAGGCAGTATCCCGAAAGGTTTAACAAATCAAAGCAAACTGATTATAAAAAAGAAAGCACTTAATAAAATGATTATAAAAATAAATTACAACCAATAGTAAACACAGGCAAAAAAGGATGCTAGAAAAGTCAAGAAATATTTTAGGTATGTCTCCTATTAAAGGACTGCACTGACTGGACACTAGACCCACACTCAAGTGTGAATATAACATATTTGTAGAAATATTCAGTCCACAGATTTGAACAACTCTAACCGATTCAGGATGTTTGAAAATTTAATACGTTCATCACATTTGTTGCCAGTGCAAAATAAAAACTACCATAGTCCCCTGTGACTGAAGCGTTTAGAAAATGGAAGGATGAACACACAGATCAGGTGTCCAATGATTTCCAAGACATGTAAGACAGGGTCCTTCTGCTCAGGGTGTACCCTGAAGCTACATTACCTATGTCCCCTGCTAGAGGGTTGAATCTGCCCTCTGCACAAATACTTTTTCTGACTGGTCTTCAAGACACTTTGATGCATGTTGCAACAAAGCACGTTGCAGATGCTTTTGTTCTGAACAGATTTGTAATGCAGATGCTTTAATTATTTTTCCTCTATGCATAGAGATAATGCAGTGTCTATGCAGTTCAACTTTAAAAACCTTTTCTCATGCGTACATTTTTAAATATTTAGACTCACAATGCAGCAATGCAAGCAAACTGGTTTACAAAAGATCCCTTTTCCCCATTCAGTCACATTGAACACACTTTGAGACTAGGAATCTTCCTGGCAACACTATGCTCATACTGCACAGTAATAATAATAATAATAATAATAATAATAATAATTGCTTACACTTATATAGCGCTTTTCTGGACACTCCACTCAAAGTGCTTTACAGGTAATGGGGATCCCCTCCACCACCACCAGTGTGCAGCCCCACCTGGATGATGTGACAGCAGCCATAGTGCACCAGAACGCTCACCACACACCAGCTCTCAGTGGGGAGGAGAGCAGAGTAATGTAGCTAATTCATAGTAGATTGCGCAAATACTGTAATATCATTCCTAGTAGCAATAACATAAATATAATAAACAGATTGCAAATGAAAAAGTGTAAACGTACACATATGAACCTCCAATGTGAATCCTACAGACTGGTGGTAACAACAAAGAAAACATCTTGTCTTAAGTAAGACCTTGCCTTACATGTCTTGCAAATCATTAGGCTTCTGATCTCCATGTTTTAAATTCTACAGTAGCTTTTATTTTGCACTCACAACAAATGTGCATAATTGATTAATATATTAAATGTTCAAACGTTCAAACGTTTTCAAGAATTGTTCAAATAATGGGCTGGATTAAAAAAAAAAGTTATATTTACATTTAACTTTTATTCATCCCCCAAACACAATTCACTGACATTTAGGTCTTTATTCGGTTTTATCATCACATAGCAAGAAAGAAGTTTTTTCTTTGCCAGGCAATTAAAAACTACAGTACAGTACATGTTACAGTACAGTAAAAATGTTAAAATAAAAAAAAATCCTGCAATATTTGTATATACATTACCCATATTCTGCTTAAAAACATTTCAAATGTATATAGACAATGTCTCCAACGCATCCTCTGAGCCACACAACAATAGCAAAGCAAAGTTCTGGCTTCCTGTTTGTAGTTTGAGATCTCTGTATTCTTCATCTGAGGCAGGAAAGCTAATCAAAGAAACACCTTACTCTGTTCATGTAACACCTTCACCACTAACCACAGGCCTGGAGAAGACATTCAGCTGAGTTTCATATTAAAAGTCTTAAGTTTCTTCCTCAAAACACTGCGTATAGCAAACAGACACTCACATTAAATTTGATGTACACCTTCAAAATTGAAACAGGCAGGTTTTAGGGTTTGTGTACAAGAATTGGCATATTATGTAAAATGTAACTACTGGAGAACTTACATATACTGTAGAACAGTTGCTGTTAATATTTTCATATTTGACTATTTAGATATTTCTTTAATATTTGATTATGTTTGCATTCATAGGACTAAGTAGTAAACAAATACTGCAGGAGCATACTTTTATTTAAATTGGGGATGTAAATGTTAATAAGCTTATGAGTTAACATGCGCCATCTAATTATTCCATTGTTAATAATAACTTAATAATTCCCTTCATCTGTATAGAGCTTTTTCATCCCAAAGCTTCACAATGAGCTCTATAGACGGGCGGGGACTGACTGAAGCTCAGTGCCCACGCTGCTGCCATTATGTAACAGCAACCCCAGAAGAGAGCAGGTATTTCGCCAATTGAATTAAAGGAAAGATGTAGGTATCAGCTTTTGCAAGTTCAAAGTGGAATTTAGCCTGGACACTGGGGTCAACACCCCTGTTCTAATGAACAGTGGCACAGGATCTGAGAAGACCCAGCTTCATGTGTCATCCAAAGCAATGGGTTACCTGTCGACTCACTGGGGACAGTTTGGAAATTCTGGTTCCAGAGGGAGCAGAGCCACCTTCTTGTCCACCGACGCCACTGAAAGCTGATTGGTCTGTCACCAGCATCACTTGGCTTCTTCTGTTCTTTTGTAGTCTCCGTCCAGCTTCCTTCTGCCACAGCCAGAGACAGTTCTTCAGATGGGCCTTTTTACTATTTACTGCAAACCCTGTCCATTACATTCAAGGTCTCTGAGAAAAGCTAATCAATCAATCAAGGTTTATTTATCAATGCACGAACAGTACAGTATACAGCGGTGTTGTCAACAATGAAATGCTTTGTCCGTGAGCTCGTTAAGAGGGATAGAAGAGTAGAAGGACAGGAATTTATAGGGATTAGATTAACATTAGGATTCAATAAATGACACAATTGCAATTTACAATATAATTTACAGATTGTGCGAAAGTAACATGAGGATAGGAGGTACAGTATTTAGCGCTCTTCGTATGTGTCCTGAGAGTGCAAGTGACAGGAGGGCACCGGTGCACCTGTCACTTCAAGGAGGTTGTCTATTCACCAGCGGCCGTTTGAGTAATTGTAGGGGTCTGCAGTGGTTGGCTGTTTAGCAGTCTTACTGCCTGGGGGAAGACGCTGTTAGGAAACCTGGTGGTCTCGGTCTGTCAGTGACAGTAGTCATGGATATACTGAAAATGTCTAGCCTCTGTGTTCTCAGTATTAGCCAGTATAAATGTACCCCTGTCTATCATATGAACAGAAACATCCCAGGGGGACACGTAATTCCAACCAGAGAGACAGGCATGCTGAGGCAGACCATGATACTGTATTATTAGTGAAAGTGTTAATGTAGCAGTCTTAAACGAGAAAATCATGGGTTGTCTGACATCTTTTTTTATCTTCCAAATTCTAGCTGCTTCATGCTGTCCTGGATTATTAGCAGTGCTGGATCTCTGACAGTGCTTGACCTCCTGATCAATCAGGACATCATAAACTGGGTTTACTAGGACACTGCTGGTGATCAACTGCAACAAGGGCTGCTAGCCGTCGGCCACGCCCACTGGCATAACTATATATATAAAAAGAAATGCTGGATATACCCATTCCAAGGGGAATGCACAATTGTGTCTCTTTCGAAGATTCGGTAATGCATCCAATAATATGGCTACAGTTGTGCATGAAATAATGCAGTATTGGTATGAGCATAACTGTATATACAGTACCAAATGTGATGTTGTTTTGCAGTTTTTTTTTAGTTTGATGCTAAACATACAAAAAGTTATCTGCTGTATATACGATATTTATAGGATTTTCACAAAAATGTAAACTTGTTTCTAAAGCATGATTGCGACCACCACCCTTTCAACTGGAACTGGAACAAATTTAGCAAAATGTAACCACCGGGCTGAGAGACCACGTGAAAACAGAATCCTGCCCAAGACGTCCTCTGTAA